AACCTACGTAGCAATTAACGAGAAAAAGCAAAGAAATCTCGAGTCAGATCGATTTCTTTTGAGCCTCCGGGGTAAAAATCCTTCAGTCGGCGTTGGCAGAAGCAGCTTGTTCTCAGTTTTTTTGGCACCTGTGAATAGAAGCCGTATGCAGAGTTAACTCCAGTGTTAACCTGTTTGACTTTCTTTCAGAGTCGGCCAACAGAAAGCTGCAGAGAGTAGCTGGAATCCACTTACAACTAGCTGTGCTTAAATACAGTATTCTGCAGGAAAAGAAAACACATTATTCACATGAGTAATTCTCACCCCGCTCAGCTTTATGCTTGATTTATTTCTGCTCTCTCACTCTGGGTTTTCATTAACAAGCTTTAAAAGACCCTTCCAGTTCTGCAGTAATGGTTTATGGCAGTGGTTCTCAACTCGTCTGGCCTGGTGCAGTTTGGATTTCAGTCGTTACAAAACATGTCTCTGAAGCAAGAAACTGAACAACACAAACATGTTCAAAAAGCTCTTCACAGACTTTTTGATTCAAGTTTTTTCCAGGCACACATTAGCTGACCACTGAAAATGGCTCCACGGCCCACTACTGGATCTGGACCCACCAGTTGAGAACCACTGGTTTACAGTAGTACCTGAGTGAAGTAGAGACCCGAACACTGACAAAAATATTGGAAGGCTAAATGCTAGTTTTCACCTTGAATGATAAGATTATAAGCTTAAAATCTTTGTGTTGTTATTGACTCTGACTCAAAAATTTTGATCCAGTAGGTGTCGCCTTTGAGCTCCAGGATGAAACCAAAACAAACTTCTGTTTGGCCACACCTCTGCTATACTGAAACCTCCACTCTCCTCCAGCGACACACCTCCAACCCCTCTCCACTCGCATTCACCCAAAAAGGAGTTATCAATTAGTACACACCATAATTAAGCCAAACGGAGGACAAACTTGTCCTCTGCTCGAGCTGCAATCACCTGTGTCCTGCATTGTTGTGTTAGCATGCTGATGTTAGCGCTCTTTAGTTAGCTAGTTGCTTCACTTTGCATGTAAACTGACACAGAATGAGCGTGATCTAAAAACTCTTACATGACATTTAAATAATCAGTGAGTATGTTCTTCTTCTTCTCTCTAGTTCTTGACTTAAACAGCTTTTATACACAAGGGGAGGAGCCAGCCGTCCCGTCCATGTAAACACGGCTCTGACAACAACACAGCCAGCGGGACTCGAGCTTCTCCCTCATTGTAGACAGTCAGGACTCATTACATTTACCCACAGTTAAACTCAACCTCCAAAGCTCCTGTGCCTGTAAGTAATGTAAAAGCCAGAACTCTCCCTGATCAAACGTGCGTGCGTGATCCCAGCTAATAGTAAGACGAGTTAGACTCTTCGATCACGCTTCCTGAATACCTGAGGTCTGTTAAAACTGTCAGCTCTTCACATCAGGGCTTTAAACGATGCTGATTAATGTAAATTACAGTGCATCACTATGCTTGGCGTAGACTTCATTTGTAATCCTTCCAGAACAGGTTCATGTAAATGTGTTATTTTTGTGTTTTTCTTTGCCTCAAACTGTTCTGTGTCTAAAAGCTATAAATAAGCTCTAAATAAACCTGCCTATCCTCACTGAAAGTAAATGTGTACACATCCTTGCCAGAAAAAAAGAAAAAGAAAAGCACAAATTGTTGGCAGGTGCTTCTTCCTTTTTGCAAAAGATAAAATGTTTCCCACTTCACCCATATCAAGTCTTTATTTTTATTTCTAGATAAAGACGAGGAAAAGGGGCTGGTTTACCGTGAGATGCTGGAAAACCATCGACAGGGAGGATAAACGCCCAGTGAGGCTGCACACACAGGTATTAGACAAGTAATTAACCCCGTGACAGGTGAGAGGAATGTGTACCCCGTCACCTTCTGCAACACGGAGACAGAGCTGCCTGTCAGCCTGTTAAGGTGAGCTTCAAAAAGTCTGTCAGCCGGTGGAAATCCTGGGAGACATTTCATCTCATTAGCAGCTCCAGGCGCTAATCCTAAAACGCTATCGGTGCCGACTGGAGAAAAACACCATGAGCTGATGGATTCACACAACAGAGGATGGGGCTGAGATTTATTCAAGTGGCAGGAACATGTCTATTTGTTTCTACACCTTTCAGGGTACCTGAATCAACCTGACAGGCGGTATCTTTCTAAAAGGGATACTTCAGCCATTTGCATTAAGCTCTGTATCATTAGAAACCTGGTAGTATTTTTGAATGGTTGTGCGTCACCTATCACAGATCAGTGGGTGGGACCTGACTGATGCGGCTGATAGAGTCTGTTTTCTGCCAGGAATTTCCAAGATACCAAGATTCAATTCTGGAAGAAATCTCGTAATCAGTTGAGGAAACGGCCGTATGTGTTGAAGTAAATATGTCTGTAACTAGAGGACCTTAGTGGGAGTGGCCTGCGGTGCTGTGCATTCTGGGAGTTGGTGTCTTTCATCCACATGATCCAAAAAGACACTTTCTGCCTTTTCTCGGTCAAGAAGGCACCAACTTCAAAATGTATTTCACATTTCTACTACATATATGACCCAATATCAATACAGATTTCAACGGGTGAAGTATCCCTTTAAAAGGACAGTTCAGATTTTTCAAGCATTTTTAAAAGTGGTACTTTCCAACAATATTCAGCGTGAGGATGGTGGTCATCACAAAACTCCTCCTGTTCAGATAGCGTAATGTGTCCCACATTAAAAGACCACATGGTAATTGTTGATGTCAAAAGAAGAAATGACTGATGAGTTCATGAGAGTTCCACCCACCTCCAGAGTGAAGGACAGCACCACGTCAGACTTGGACAGCGTGTTCTCGTCCTCCTGCCCCATGTCCATGATGGAGGCGTTGTGGCCTCGTTTCAGCTTCTGCAGCTTGAACTCTCCTCCTTTGGACACCGGCATGCTCTCCAGGTTGGCCATCAGCAGGTTGACGGAGGACCGCAGCTCCTCGATGAACATGGCCTCCATCTCTCTGGATGAGAACCGCGGAAACCTCCCGCCATACTGAGAATAACAGGAACCAATACTCTGATTAGGTTCTAGGTGTTCAGTTTTCATGAATCATTGATGTAGTAAAAGTTAGTTTAGTCGATGCATCAATCTCTACATCCGTCCTGGTTCCTTACCCGTGCAATCTGGTCGGCCATTTGCAAACGTCCGTCCAGCTCTCTTCTGATCTGGGCCGCCTGCTCATCGGGTTATCCAGCTGAGGAAACACAGAGAGACAGACAGACTGTTACAAATACAAACCCACAAAGAAGTAAACTAGGCAGAGACTCCATCAGGATCCATCAGTCAGCTGTTTCTGCAACCTTTGCAAACTTTAGTGAGTTTTCTGCATAGACTGTAAATATGAATGAGTGACGTCAGCCATCTGATCCTGCAGGGGGCTCCGGAGGCTCATCGGCAGCAGCAGCCACCATGTTGAGAATCTAAGGTTTCCAACCAGCACTAGGTCATGTTTTTGTGTTTTTGCATTTCTTATTTCCTTGTTTATTTTGTGTTTTTGTATTCACCCTTGACTCTGTCTTTTAGATCCTGCTCCTCATGTTCCTGCCTTGTGTGTCAGCCTCGCTCTGATTACCCTCACCTGTGTCTCGTCCCTGATTGTCTGTGTTTTTAATCCCAGTGTGTTCGCCCTCTTGGTGCCAGTTCGTAGTGTTTCCTAGTGTACCTTTGTCCCAGAAATGTGTATTTACAGTAGCTCCCTGTGCATGATTCTCACCTGCCTTTTGAACCATGCCTCTTGCCTAACCCTCTGAATTTGTTGTTTATTTGCCAACCTGTGTACCCAACTCCTGCCTGGATTAAAGAACTGTCTTTTGAAGGCGCCCTCTGAGTCTGCAACCTAACGACAGGCAGAGAGCTGGAGCTGAGGCGGGTTTCAATGCTGCATTCAAGTGCTGCTCGGTTGTTCCAATTTTCCGAGTTGAGAAGTCGTTCTTCCGACTTCATTTTAACATATTTTGCCCCCCATTTGATGACGATTCTGATGTCAAGTCGGGAAGTCGGGGACTTATACTTTTCCCAATTTCTGAGTTATTGTTCCGACTCGTTCATGTGGATTTTACAACTCGGAGACCCATTTTTCCGATGTGTCCGTTACCACATGAATGCAGCATAAATCCTCTGGATAAAAATGAAGAGGATTTCCATCAAGTGCTGACACTCAACTGGACAACAGGACTGAGTTACAGTTCAGCATAGTATCCAGTGGGGGATATTATTTCTACTGTTTGTCAATAAATTCCCTTTTTGCCTCGAGTCTTACAGAGGCCTGTGATATACAGAGAGCAAGAATCAATCTCATAACCACGTGGAATTCATCAGCTGCTCTCCCTCCAGGCTGCTCGATCGATACTCCCTCTACCTGCAGATTAGCAGGCAGCCGGAGCGGGTAATGACGGAGCTGTCATCTGCAGCCAGGCACAAAGGTGTGCACCTTCTCTGAGTGGAGTCACACACAAGCACATTGTTCTTTTTGCTCTCAGGAAAGAAAGAAACCTTTGCAGCTGTAAGACAAACGCTGGCTATTCTAACATCGTCAGGACTTCTACACTCCGACTGAACATGTGATGATGCACCAATGATGTCAGCGTACAACATGTTCACGACATGTTGTACGCTGACATCATTGGTGCAGCAGATTGAGCAGGAATCACAACATTTGTTAATTATGGTGTTTTCATTTTGTTGTGATTGAAATGTTGAATACGATTGTCAGCATTTTTGATACTTCAATCCTTTTTGACACCACATGTTTTAAACATACATCCATCCATTATTGGTGACATTTATCCCATTCAGGGATGCGGTGGAGGCTAGAGCTGATCCCAGCTGTCATTGGTCGAGAGGCTGGGTACACACCTGGAGTGGTCGCCAGTCAATCTCATACAGAGACAGCCACACTCACATCCACACCTTCAAGCAATTAAGAGTCACTAATTAACCTGAGGAGCATGTCTTTGGACTGTAGGAGGCAGCCTGAGTATCGAGAGGGAACCTCAGCAAACACGGGGAGAACAAACTCCTCACAAAAAGGCGACCAGACTGTCGGGGAATCGAACCAGGTACCTTATGCTGTGAAGCAACAGGGCTGATCACTGCACCTCCGTGCAGCATGCATTAAAACGATACAATTTCCATTAATTTAATGAACGATTACTTTCAAAAATACCAAATCTTTTAATAACACTACTGATCTGAAAGATGTAGTTTTACACCTTGAAAAAGTATTTTCAAATAAACAGAACAATAACTTCCAACAGCTCGTAAGTCCCCTGTTTTCTGCACGATGTAACGTTGGCCTCTCCAAAGAAGTGCTGCCGAAAGCAAAAGATAAAGCGAGTCTTGAAATTATTTGGGAAATGTAGACAGTGTGCAGGTGTTTGCTTACAATTTTTGGTAATTAAACACAAGAAATTACTTCATATTTGATACCTTGGACTTCTATTTTTGTTGCCATGGTAATGAAACAGGTATCAATATATTTTCACTTTTTCTAGTATTGTATTGGAGTTAAAAGTTCTGGTATCATGACAACCCTGTGTAACAACAGCCTTAATATCCAGGGGATTTCAGAGTTGATTTGTCCATGTCACAGTTTAATTAGGGCACGCTCATCGAGATTATTGAAAAAATTGGTTATAATAAACATTGGTGTGAGATATCTGAGGTCGGCCTTTTTCTTTTGTCTTGACCTACAAATAATCAGACATGTTTCTAATTGCTTTTTGATCTTTGTAAAGTTCAATGCCATGAATTCATGAAACTTTCTAAAAACAAAAAGCATGCAGCAAACTTTGCTATTAGGCTTTGGTCTCCATGGGGTTCCCGCCATGTTTTTTGTTATTAACAACATAGTTTGAAACCATGGAGGGGACCCTCTGGAGACCCAGCCTTTCTGCATCAACTTCTGATGCTTGACTTGCTGTCAGGAAACTGCTAACATTTTAAAACTTTAAGGAGGGGAGGAAGAAAACAGCTCTCTAGTTAACTGCTAGCTTGTAGCTAAGCTAATCCAACTAATGTTATACTGCAAAAAACTCAAATGAGACGTACTAACTCATTTACATGTAGACATCTCTTCTCAACAAACTAAACAAATACAATTGGCTTTCTGCATTGGCAGATATTTTTACTTCTCACAAGCAATTCAGGCCATTTTCTGTGTGATGTGATTTGTATATCTTGATGTTTATCTGGACTGCAGCTCCTAGAATAAATCCATCATAAGGAAAATAGCCTAATAGACTTAATTAGACTAAAGTCTGGCTAACTGTGGACCTCATCAGTGTGACAGGCGGCTGCAGCCCCCTGCTTCATGTACAAGTTGTTGATGCCTCGTGTCCTCACAGGGGGGCAGATGGTTGGAGAAAGCGTGGGCAGGAAGGGCCGTTAGGAGCAGGCACATGAAGCCGCCTGCTGAGGGGAGAAGCCAGAAAGTGGTTTAACTGACAGACGACCCACCATGAACAATATGTCAAAAAGACTCACTCTGAATATTTCTTTTAACCTGAGGAGAGTCTTCATAGACATGTATGCATGGAGGGTTCTTGAAGATATTTAAAGTCTCAAATAAATTTATAGGGTCTATCTTCAGATGTAGTCATCCGTCCTCAACCTGCACCACATTTCTTCTCCATAGTGCAGAGAACAACATAATGTATATTGTTATAGTGTAATATATTAAATGTTACATTGAAGGACGACAGTTTAAGATTTAGACATTTAATATTTAATTAATAAATGTGTTTTTGTCGATGTTATGACCCGGGAGCTCCCTGGTGTGCAGCTCTTTTTTGCTTCTTTATACCTTTTCCTTTTTGGATTCAGCACCCACAATTTCCACTAACTCCGTGCGCACAGTCTGCGCCGCGCACTACGCTGCTGTTTGCTGCCACTCTAATCAATCATTGTGTTTCCATAGCGAGCGACGCGGTCCGTCTCCGGAGCGTGCCACCAGCGCCCCTACACTCTGCTCGGTATAAAATATGCTGCAAGTCTATTTTTCGAAGGAGAAGCTGCAGGCGTCAAGCCGGACAGGAAGTCAGATAAGGAAACGCACGGAGCTACTGGTCAATTTCAAAATAAAAGACATCTCTCAATCGTATTTTTATCACTTTATCAACATTACGTCTAAACAGGCAACGAACGAACAACAAATCATCCTCAGAAAGACTAAGAAACATGTTGCTTGCATGTTTTTCTCTTTATTCCATGTGATCTTGTAGTTCACCCTCTAACTCAAACTTCATAGCCACTGTAGGGTTTATTTTACGATGGGTGGCAGAGGGTAGTTGTTTTTTGGAGGTTGTAATCTCTAACCCCACCACTAGATGGCACTAAATCCAACACATTTGCGTCTTTAAACGTGTCGTTCAGTCACTCAAGGTAAGCTAGGAAAATCAGAAACAATCTGAAGAGCCTGTGATTGTCTGCAGAAACTTCCTTCAACAGCACAACCGACAAGTAAGAGAGTGATAGAGTGAAAGGAGACTGTCTGATAATCACGCCCATCTTTGCCTCTGACAGAAAGAAACAGAAAATGGAACAGATCTAATCAGAATCCCTCCCTGAATAACACATCCAGTTCACGGTGACCTTTTACTGACAAAATCAAAATAAAGCTCTTCTGACAGTTTGAGTTTAAGAGTTGAGATTTCAAAACATTCCTACTTCCACGTCAGATACATCACATGCACAAGAGTGGGAGGGAAAGCATGTTACGTTTCTTTAAAGAATATATATCTGATAAATCAATGAAGTGCCCTCACTGAACTCGTAGGAGCTCATTTGCAGCTTCTGAACTTTTCTGCTCTTTTCTTTGAAATGTACTTTTTCAAGTGTTCTCGTAGTGACGGACAGGTGAGGAGAAAACGAGAACAGGCAGGTTCAGGAGGCTGATGGGAAAGTTCTCTCTCTCTCTAACCCTCCCTCTCTCTCTCTCTCTCTCTCTCTCCCTCTCTCTCTCCCTCTCCCTCTCTCTCTCTCGTCCGTCCTTGCCATTGATTTTCTCCCACAGTCTACATTAACATCTTGCCAGAACACCCACCCCTGCTGTTACCACTGACTGAGAAGCACGTTTGAATTACTGCCGTCTCCCAGTGATGCATGACACACACACACACACACACACACACACACACACACACACACACACACACACACACACACACACACACACACACACACACACACACACAC